AAGGATGTAACTGCAGCCTTAGAGGAACACTGCAGGCACAAGTCGCTGCCAAAAATAGACACCGTTGAGTCACATTTTTTATTTTTTTAGAAACTGGATTTTCACCAGATATACTGTAACAGGGCCTTAGTAAAAAATAAAAAAAGAGAGAAAAGCATAGCTTTACATATTTTGAAATGGCATTTCAATTAGACTGCTTAATCCTATTTGGATTTGCATTTTAAATATTTGTTAGTACCTTAAAAAAAACCTCACAAAATATGTTAAATCTGTAAGAATTGATTCGTACTCTCTGTCTTACAGGATTAGGCAGTGTTGCCCTATTTCTGTTTCATTATCCGTCATCTGATGTACATGTGGATTATTTTGTACCACAGGAGAAAGAGGAGAATGTTGCACCAATAACTAAAAATTCTTCATTTTTTTTGGCAGGAAATAGCAAATAGACTAGAGCATGCAATGGAAATAACAAGTTCAGCACAACACAGACTCGCATGGTTCACAGGAGCAAGTGTTTTGCTGCGGGAGGCCACGCTCTCACTCAGCATGTGTTGAATATATAACTAGAGCTGATAAACTCACCACAGGAACAAAAGGGGAACGGAGTAGGAAGACAAACATTAACTTTCTGTCTTAGATCGAATAAAATAACTTTGCACAGTTCGCTGCCGCAAGTGACACTCAATTACACCCTAAACGTACGTGCGATCTCGGGGCCGGAGCCGCGCGGTTCAGTGGGCGGTGCGTCATGTGACTCCGGCGGAGTCTCGGTCCACTTTTATGTAATGATTTCCCGACTTGAACGGTGATAATGGAAGCAGAGAAGAGGCTTGGCCGAGCACTGACCTTGGTAATAACAAGGGAGACAGAGAAGGACTCATCCACTCTCTGATCTTTTTTTCTGCGGACGATACGTACACCCTTCTGCCCCCGCCCCGCCTGCCTGGCTGGCTGCCTGCTCATGTGCACAGTGGCGGCACTGTGCAGGCTGATTGAGGTTGACTGCAGTATTATTTCATTAATTAAGTTTTCCCACTTCCTCCTCCTCTCCTTCCTGTACTCCCGTCAAACGACGGTGGCGGTGCCACACCCTCCCTCTCTCTCTCTCCGCCGTCCTCTGGCGCTTCACCCCCTCCTCCCCCCATCACTGCTGATCATTGTATCAATTACTCATCCCTCCTCTCCCTCTCATGTCTTTCTGTCTCCCTCTCTTCCCTTGTCCTCCTTTCTCCTCGTATCTCACACCAAATCACACGACACAGCCCACCCCGCCGTCTCTCTTCCCTCTCCGTCCTCCCTTTGTGAGTTGGGGAAGATTTCAGGCATATCACTTCCTGCAGTTCCACATTTCTTCCGCTCTTATCTCCACCTCATATCAGGATTTTACAGATGTTCTGCGATCACCACCTTGATGTGGCGATATCTCTCACCTGTCAAGTGCAAGGCTTTTTTCTTTTTTTTTTGCACAATTTAAAAAGCGCTGCTCTGGATCTGCAGACAAAGCAGCTGTGATCCTGGCGATCACTTTCTTCCTGTGAAAGTGGAATTTACCAGAAAACGTTGGCTCCTGTGACATGCGGGAGGAGCCGCTCCTTCTTTGAGTTGGTGTTTTTGTGTTATTTCTAACTTGTTGACGCTGATGGATTGAAAAAAAAAGCATCCATTTGTTCAATTACATTTGTAGAGGCAGACCTGGGTTCATTTGGCTCTCAGTCTACGTCTGTCCGTGGATCTCCTCTGTCTGTGGATCCATTAGAGTCTTTTACCTCTCTGACATTCATCATCTCATATTAACTCTTCTGTTTTCCACCTTTCTTCATTTGGTGACCAGACCCATTTCCTTGTTTGTTCTTCCTCAGCCTCCTCCTCCTCTTTCTGCCTCATTTCTGTGTCCACTGGGCTCTAGGTCATCTCTATCGTCTCACATAGTCCCCTGTCCCCATCATATCACCAACAGCTTGTCACAGGCAATCAGTCTCTCCTCCTCGCTTCCCTGCACCACCACCACCACCTCCTCCTCCTCCTCTTCCTCCTCCTCCTGCTTTTTTCCTCAGCCCTCATCATCCTCACCTCCCTCGTCTCCTGTTGCCTTCTTGTCCTCCTTTCTGTGTCAGTAGTTATTACTCTCAAAAGTCACAGCCCCCCCCGCCCCCCCGCCCGTTCTCTATAGAATCACTTATGGTTATTTATTCCTTCCACCTTCAATCAGAGCTGCCGTATTGTGTTTTCACCCTGAGGCCCACCTTCAGCTCACTTGGTAACCTCTGTTCATCAGCGTAGTGCTCGCTGAGTCTCCGGTTGTTTCTGTTAGCATATAGTCAGGTGTTCACTGTACCAAGAAGACACACTCAGGTGTACTACGCCAATTAGTCAAAAATAACGTTACCTCATACACACAGTTCAGTATTCTGATCATTTTGATGAAATGGAAGATCAGAGATCTAATTACGATTCCATTCATCCATTAGGGGACCGTCTACGGCAACTTTTCAAAACCGCGTTAAAAATTCATGGGCGGTTTAGAGTTTATAATTCAACCGAGGGAGAAAACTGAAATACTGGAAGAAAAACAAACACACAGAAAAAGTCCGTACAGAAATGCCAAAGATGAACTTGACCCGACTCTCTATCCCACCAAAGTCTGCGTTAGAATAAATCAGTAAAATCGAAAAAGAAAATATGTCAGTGTTTATGAGTACCTTTAATTTTTAAAAATTCTGTCAAGGATGAAAACATGAAATACATAAAAAAAAGTATATATTTTGTATTTGGTCTGTAAGTAAAAATGTGTGATATTCTAGAATGCTAACGCAGAATGTGAACCATTTTAGTACATTTTGTTTGAGCTACGCATAAAAGAATGAGTTGAACTACTGACACTGAACACCACAGACGACTGACACTGAACCTCCAAAGCTCGGACTTCTACTGGGACTAAATAAAGACTGTTTGACACATCCGGCTACAAACAGCTACAACACCAGGGGAGACAACGATATCAGCTGTTTCTCAATGACACCATTAAGCCCTGGTGAAGAGCAGGGTGTAATTTGGCACATGCACCGACATTAGTGTAATAGGCTACAGCAACAGGAAAATGTGACGTGAAAGTCCATTTCAGTTGGGTGAATAGAAGAAGAAGTGGAGGAAAGTGGAAACAGGTTCACAGCACTTTATTTAAACCTTTTTTTTATACATATACATTCGTCCCTCCCCGGCCCATCTCGCTGGCTCTTTCACCAGTCTGGCGTTCGCCTTGACCTCCGCCTGCTTCTCTCCTCCTCCTGCTTTCACACTCTGCGTCCTGCAGGGATGGAGAGAAATGTGAGGGAGGTGTTAGAAGTAGAAGCTGCCTTTTTTCACACCTCCCTCCCTCCTTCTCTATACCACTCTCTCTCTCTCTCGCGCTCTCTCTCTCCTGAGCCGCCCGCCATCCTTCCTTCTGCCTGCTTCAGAGCAGCTAATCTACAGCCTGAAGGGTAGTCGCTGGTAAAATTTATTTCATATACGTCTATAGACAGTTTATATCCTCTGTGTGTGTGAGAGGCAGAAGGAAGTCAAGTTCACCTCTCGGGGCTGTAACATGAAAAATAAGGTTAGACGGCTGCTGTTTCCAGGGTTGTTTTGGGAGGTGATATTTTCCCTGTCGTAGCCACACACCGGCTCCTCCGTAGGACAGACTTTACAGACAAACACAGATGTTTGTGTCCTGTCACAGTGGCTGTGGTCGGCCGTGTGGAGCCAGGGTCAAGCTGGTGACCGTTAACATTTGTATATAGGAGATTAAAACCAGCTGCACGAGCGACGGGCCGCTCAGCAGCTGCCCTCACTGGTGAATCTGTTCAGACATCACTTCCTCCTTCTGTCCTTCCTCGCTCCTCTCTCCCTTTGCTGTCACTCTCTCTTTCTGTCTTCTCTCTTATTCATAACCTTTTATTTTATTTATCACTATGCCCCCCCTCCACCCTTCCTTCCTTCTAATCCCCCCATCCTGACTCTCTGTGTAAATGTTCTTCCTCTTTCCACAGCCTGTATGACCTGCCGACCACTGATCTCAAATGCAGCGTTGACATGCTTTATGTAGGAAGAGCATTACAGGGATTCCTGCACTTTCCCGCATAAGAACACACACACACACACACACACACACACACACACACACACACACACACTTAGTCCTCTTTCCTGCCCGTGCTCTCTGCTAAGACTGTTTGACCTCTTTTACTCCAACTTTAAGCTTCACTGGACTGAAACCTGTTTGATTCCTGCACACGTCGAGCCTGTCAGTTCAGCTGCTCCACAGTATAGCTATATAAAGCCAAACGTACATTCATATAAACTTCCTTGCTTCGTCACAGCCGAGGTTCTTCAGAATTATCCGATAACTGCTGTTATCTTTTATTCCACTCTGTGAAACCCTGAGCTTAACTGTACCTTATTACCAGTCAGAGGTTTAACTCGTTCAACAAGGTCTGTTTTTGTAACCAGTACCGCTCCGTACTCTGTGAACACGCAGTGTTTTGTGTCTCAGGGGCCCCATTTTACTTCATAGGCGCCCTTGATTGGATTACCATTCCCTTTTTTTTTTTTTCCCCCGTCAGGCAGTTTCTTTTCCTCCCCTATTAAGGCCCTCTCCTGCCATTTCCCCAGACCTGGCAGCAACTGCAGCTGAATGAAAGCGGTTGAGTCCATGCGGTGTGGTAGGGGTGTTAATGAATTCCAGTGGACTAATAAACGAGGACTACTTAAAGCGCTGCCGCCTCGTAGTTTGACATTTCAGAGCTTCTAGTGGAGATTTAAACCGTGGCCTTGTCAAATGTCACTCATTGATTCCCCGGCGATGGTCCGGCATATGAATTGAAGACGTTGACGGCATCAAGTAGAGTTTTGGAGAAACTGAACAAATGTGAAATGTTTTCCTCTGCGAGTGCCCGCATGTGTTTATATATCAGGAAACAAGTCCGGCTGATTCTGACGTTTTTCTGTTTCCTTTCCTGCAGCTACATCTGATGGGACACGCCAAAGCTTGGATAGCATGAGAGGAGGAGTGTGTGTCACACAAGGCATGAAGGTGGTCCTGAAAGTGGGACAGAGTAAGTCCTCTCAACCACACACACACATACACACACACACACACACACACGTAACCCTCTAAAGTTCTTTTATCAGGATTAAGATGTGAATTATTATTTTTATACGTATGTGGCAGTGGTGGCTTAGTGGTTAAGGAAGTGGAAGGTTTCAGGTTCGAGTCCACCAGCTGCCAAGTTGCCACTGAAGTGCCCTGAGCATGGCACCGTCCCCACACACTGCTGCCTCCTACTGACTTTGGTGATGGGTTAAAACCAGAGGTCACATTTGGTTGTGTGCAGTGGTGTGCTGTGTCCCAGTGACAAGGAGTTCACGTTCCTTCCTTATATACAGTATTATTGAGACAGAAATGAGACCATGTTAGTTTGAGTGTTGATAAGGATCTAATGATTTCATTATCAATTTCACATATTGGTTCAATTTCTTATAGAAATAGAAATAAAATATAGTAAATATAGGTGTTTTGCATTAGCCATTTAATGTAAAGTATGAAATAGAAATAAAATATAGTAAATATACCGTAGGTGTTTTTCATTAGCCATTTAATGTAAAGTACGCATTAGTGTTTGACATTTGATTTGGACAGATTTAAAACTGCATGAGAAAAAAACCCACCAATTCTGAATAAGATATGAAAATGTAAACATAAAAACCAGCTGATAAACAACAACATACGTATCAACTTCTGTTTGTGAAAGGAACCTAAAGGATAAACTAGGCTGTGTCGCTCACAGAAACTCCAAACTGTCATGCTAGGCTGACAAAAAAAACAAACTTCAAACAAAAATAGGGAGCTTGCAATGATGTCATCAAGCAAAACCATATCTGGAATTGATGAGGAGAATTGATGGGAAACAAGCAGAATAGCAATTTGAAGGAACCAGACCACTGGGAGCCGACTCTTGTCGTTTCCTACCACGTCAATCCATTTTCATTCATGAAGCAACTGAAAATGTAGCAAAAAGAGAACCTTAAACTGGAACAGAGTTCTGTGTCCTGTTCTGGGGGACGTCAGCCAGATGACACAGAATTAAATTTGTCATGGTGCAGCCATGGTATTAGGAACCGTGTTGATTCTATCATGTTAACTGTGGTGACGGAGAGGCAGGTTTCCTCGTCTCACATCTCACGTCCTCCTCACTGTCTTCACTCAGGCCGGACATCCTTTGACACTAGCCGACACCAGCATTGAAGCCAGTGCATGTCTGTATACATTACAGGTCTAACACGTAGCTCATGCATGCGGAGGCATGGACACGTCATCTGAATAATGTCCACACAGGACAAACCTGAGGTGTCAACGCACTGATGTGGACATTTGTACACGCCAGACGTCAGGCGTTCCCCCATGCAGCAGAGCTGCCGGCCGGCGTGCGATAACAAAACGACTCCATTCAGTGGCAAAGCACACAGTCAGTGATTTTTAATGGCGCGTTGCTGCACACACTACTAATTTGTTTGGGGAAAAATCTGCGTAGGTAATGGAGCCTGGACGCAGACTTGTCAAAAGAAAAAAAGCGGGCCGTTTGCACATTTTGACTGACCAGCACATTCCTACACATAATAGGCACCTGTCCTTCACCCGACCCCCACCGACCCCACCACTCACACACATGCACGCATGCACACCAACACTCACATGCTTAATACTGTTTCTTTAGTCAGTGCTGTGCTATCAGCACCAGTGCATTGTGGCTGCTCTACAGCATAGAACCAAGAGGCGCTGCTGTGACTTTATCAGCCCATAACATCAGCACAGTCAGCTCAGCGCTATAGAAACACTGCGCCACACACACACTTTATTTCCCATGGCTCTCTCTCTCTCTCTCTCACCGTATGGGCAGTGGAAATACTACTTGGCTTCACTGTCACACACACACACACACACACACAGTGACCTCAGTGACTTTCCGCATCTTTTTTTATTTAGATTTCCTTCTCTCTTTTATCTTATCTTTCTCCTCTTCTGTCCTTTCCTCAACGCAGTCTTTCTTTGCGGTGGATCTCCTCTTCTGTCCTTTCCTCAACGCAATCTTTCTTTGCGGTTTATTTTTTCTTTTTAACCCCTTCCCCTGGCTCTCTCTCAAGTAACATCGCTGTCTTCCTTTTTAATTTCCCTTGTCCCCGTCCTCATGACACACACACACACACACCACACTCCCTTCACTTTACATGCTGGTCATCTCTCCCCACAGCTAGTCTCCATCTCAATCCCCCCTTCGGTTATTCTCCCTCTATCTCTCCGTCTCTCCCTCCTTCTCTCTCTCTCTCTCTGTCTCTCTCTCTTCTTCTTCTTCTCTCCGCGTCTTATCTGCTCCGTGGCTGAAAGGTCACGTCTGTGTTGTTTGTCGTCTAAATAAGCGGCGTGCCGCCTCATAGCGATCTCAGAAGAGATATGGCTCTCTGCTTTGACCGAGGAACACACACGCAGACGCCAGCGCTCACAATACACACACTCGCACCATTTCCCTGCACACACACAATGACCTGTCGGCTCCTATTTTATTCTTTATCTATCTTGCTTGCGCTCCGTCTCAGTCGTACACCCACAGTGTGAACCTCCGTGCACCAGCCAACGCTGACCGTACAGCAGTGTCTATCGATCCAGACGGCAGCAGCCCTAACTTCTGTCCATTGGGCTGTCGTGAGCTTGGCCCCCTGAGCCACTGGCCTCACATGTCTCCAAATGTCACAATGTAAAGTTTGATGGCTAGGCTGCGAACACACAGGTACGCACGTGCTGGTTATGCCTTGTTGGGCATAATCGGTACGTGGTGCCTTAAACACCCAATGGTTTTGCCCTTTGACGGACGGACCTTTTGAAAATTGCGGCTGAGCGGCGGAGATGAAAGGCCCTACGGCTGAGCAGATGGCTCCGGAGTGGGCAAAATTGGTACTTTCTAAACCAACTCTTCCAGTTTGAGTTGTGGTACCTTCACAATGGCTGCCTGCGTGTGCGTGCGGGTATGTGTGTCCGCATTTGCATGTGTCACATAAAGGCTTTTTAATGCCATCACCATTACCGAGGGCTTGCTAGACAGATGGCCTGATTTAGCGACTACAGATTACAAGCCGTTATGGCTTCATGTAAATTCACTCTGGCCAAAACAACAGACAGCATCTCTTTTGTTTCCCATTCAAACAAATGGAGAAGTGCTCGTCCACGGTGCGTCGGCGCTCCATCAATATGTGCTCCTCTATAACTGGAGTGGAAGAGAGGGGAGCCTTTATTAGAACAGCCCTGTTCTGACTTGGCCGTCTGGCACTTGTAGCTCATGTCCCTTTTTTTGGTTCCAATGACCAGAACTTTGACTTGTTTTTTTTTTTCTGTTTTTTTTCCACAGGCCAATATGGACTGCCTCCGAAGAAGGAGCCGGCAGGCCGCACCACCAGCAGAAACCCAGGTAAGCAGGAGATCAAATGGAGAAAATCCACATCAGAGCCATCCAGGAATGGATGGAGAAAATAAGCAGAGACTGGTAGATAAAAAAGAAAAGCAGTGGAGAGAGGGAGGGGGCGGGCGACAGATGGAGAATATGCAGCGGTGACATCTGTGGATCTCTCTATTTAATTTCATATCTCACTCTCTCTCTCTCTCTCTCTCTCTCTCGCTCTCTTACTCCCTGCTCTCTATCCCTTTTCTCATCTCTGTGGCCGGCCCTCGCAGCTAAGTGCTGCAGGCAGGGAATGGATGGCTAATAGCTACCTTGGGAGAAGGACCGAAAAAGGGAAAGGGAGGAAACAAGAGGCAGGAGAAGAAAAGAGAGAGAGAGAGAGAGAGGGCAATGGGAGAGAAGGCTAGACCAGCGGCGACATTTCGGAGAGTTATTACTGTCATTAGTTTGGCCGGCCTGGATTCTGTAGTTCTGTCATGAGAGACCGAATGAGAGTAAGAAAGCCAGAGAGAGGACGATAGAATGAGAGAAAGATGGGAATTACAGAATGATGAGGGGGTGGGGGAGGGAGGGCTGACATGGGGGAGTGATGGAAGAGAGTGGGTATTTGGAGGCACATAAGAAGGAGAAAGAGAAGAATAATTGAAAAGCAAAGAGGGGAGAGGAATACAACAAGGAGATGAAAATGGGGAGAGGCTAAAATTCATGCTCTATTTCAAATTCATTCCAAGTCGGTCTCAGACGTGTTCATTTCTCGGCTTTCTTCTTCGCTGCGATATTTGCGTATATTTAACAGACGTGTGAATCGGCCCACTTGCACATTATCCAGTCATTTGTCCACAGCACATTATATAAAGTATGTATTCGAGCGAGAACTGCCGAGTGTGAAGTCTGCCACAGCGGCGCAGCTTTGTTTCCACAGGAGTGAGCTGAATAACACAGTGTAAAGAGTTTCACATGTTGTGGAAGGTTGTTTCAGCCCGGGACCTCCGTACGAGGACACATCAACGCACGCTTCACCCCACACCTCTGTTTAGATAACTGTTTACTCCGAAACAAAACACTTGTGACAGAAATTCTAATCCTCCCGTGAATGCACTTGAAACCGTTTGAGTGAGTGGAGTGTGGCTGGTTATTGAGTTTCGCTTTTGTCTGCTTATCTCATCTGATCTTCCCCAGGGATGTAAACAAATATCACTGAGCGCTTCTTCCGAGCTCATGATGTAGTCCCACAATCGCTGCATTCAGCCCGTCTCCTCATTATCAAAGTATTTCATTTGATTGAGTTTATTGACATTTCCATCCCAGTCCAGCACTCCTTGTTGCTTGCGTTTTGTCCTTGTCAGTCAGCTCGCTTGTTGCTCGAACAGAAGCAGCTGTAGCGACTGGAGAGCCTTGGATTCTAGTGCCATAATAAAGAAAAAAATATGTCCGTAACTTTTAGCTTACTATATTATCAAGTCAAAAAGCCATAAAGCAACGGATATAAATGGCAGAAAATAACACCCAGCATTATCTATTATAGATAATACCGGAACTGAGAAACAGAAACAATCCCCTTCCTGTTGGCAGGACATTAACCTGATGTCCAAGAAAATAAATTCAATCTGTTAAAAAAAAAAAATATGGGGGAATTAGGTGAAAAGCGAAAGTGTCGTGATGGATTAGCCCTGCTAATTATGAAACCTCGTCTCTGCTCTGGGATGTATTTACACATGGCTTGTTGACAGGAACATTGCTAATTTATTCTGTTTCCACATTTTAGAAATATTTTTGATTTTGAAAGCCCAAGACAAAAAAAAAAAAACCTGACACATTTGCACCAATGAAATATGAATCCATATAAAAACGCGACATTAGGCGTTCAGTCAATTATTCCTAGTTTCAATGTCATATCTCTGTTTTGTTTTTTTGTTTTTTTTTCATTTAATACTGAAAGTGATCTAGAGGCTTGTTCCAAATATCAAGACGTGTTATTTAAACCTTTACAAAACACAACTGCATCAGTGGACCAAGGTCATTACAACCGCATTCATCACACAACAGTAAGGTTGAATTGATGGGTCCTTTTCCCTGAGAAATAAAGTGAAACACAGCATCAAGGCTAAGAAGATATAAAAGGAAAATAAGCCATATGAAAGAAGAAAGCTGACCATGAAATTATCATGGACGTTAAGATAGAGAAAAAGGGGGGGACACATAGAGGGATAGCCAGTGTAATCAACATCCGGTGTTAGAGTTGAGCTCAGCACAGAGGGGGTCCAATAGCAGCCGAGCCGCGAGGTGTGCCTTTGTGCCTGTTTGTCTGTATTGATATCCTACTGTGCACGGCCCCTTTATGTATGTTTAAGTTTCCAGGACTGAGCTCAGAGCAAGATTAGTAATTATGGCTTCAATGAGCAGAAGATAGAGAGAAACAAAATCACAGAGTGAGCGAGCGGAAGAAAAG